CTTTCCCCAACTCCTCCCCTGCTCTGGTTTGTTCTGCTACTCTCTGATGTGCTTCTCTAGGGATATTATACTTATCAAAGAAGGCAGGATGGTGTGGAACAGGTGCCAGCCTGCAGTGACAGTGGGGGTCTCTTCACTGGCCAAGGAAGTCATAAGGCTGGTCCAAAAAAGAATGACCAAAGGAGGCAACATGGTGGGCAGAGAACTAGACCAGGAGTCAGAAACATACGGGTTCAAAGCTGAAGTCTACTCCTAGCTGCATGACCCTGGGCAGGTCATTTAGCTACTCCTCCACTGTGCCTCAGTTTCCTCTTTCTGTAAAGTAGGGATAAAGATAGCACCTTCCCCAAGGTTGTTGTGAAGACTACATGAGGGAAGTGGGAGGTATCTATGATATGTCAGCAATTATAATAATACTTTTAAAAATGTTTGTGTCTTGTTCAAATGAGATAATATTTATTAAGCCCTTACTACAGTGCCTGGCATATAGTACATAGTAGATGCTTAATTATTGCTTTTTCCCTCCCTCATCTAGTTCCCTGCGGCACCATAAGCTCCATCAGAATGGGGAATATCTTAGCTAAACTCTGCATCTCCCCTAGTACACTACACAGTAAGTGTTTAGCAAAGGTTTGTTATCTGATGAGATGGATGGATGGATGAATGGATGGGTGGATGGATGGATAGATGGATGGATGGGTGGATGGACGGATGGATGGATGGATGGGTGGATGGACAGACAGATGGGTGGATGGACGGATGGATGGATGGATGGGTGGATGGACGGATGGATGGATGGATGGATGGATGGATGAATGGAAGGGTGGATGGATGGATGGGTGGATGGATGGATGGATGGACATGTGGATGGATGGATGGATGAATGGATGGGTGGATGGATGGATGGGTGGATGGGTGGATGGATAGGTGGATGGGTGGATGGATGGATGGATGGGTGGATGGATGGATGGATGGATGGATGGATGGATGGATGGATGGATGGATATATGAATACCTCCTACCCAGAATAGGGGAAGGAAAATAAATCCTTCCTCAAAGTTTACTAATACAAAGAAATAAGAAAAAACACAGCTAGGCCAGCCCCCATCCACCCACCCAGATAGCACACCCATTACCCTCAAGGATCCTGGGGGCAAATGTCAGGAAAAGATAAAGAACAGGATTACCCACATTCTCTGGTTTGAGGGGAACAGGGGCCTTGCAGTAGTAGGATAGGAACTGAGCCACTTCATCCCGAAGCCTACGAAACAAGCAAACAAACCCATGGAATGAGGCAGGAATGATGGATCTCCAAGCCACTTTGGGTTGGTTGGCCTTCAGGGTTCCCCCCAAGGCTTATGGAGAGTTCCATCTCTGAAGGCCAAGGTTCAAAGGTCCCTTCCAGCTCTGATGTTCATTCTTTATTCTCTGATCTAAGGATCATACGGTTTAGATAGAGATCTGGAAAGAACGTCAGAGGTGATCTAATCTAACACTTTCGGTTTAAAGATAAAGCAGTTACAGCATAGAGAGGTTAAGTGATTTGCCCACCCACACCAATAATAACAATAACAGCTAGCATTTATATGACACCTGTGCCAGGCACTGTGCTAAGCACTTTACAGTTATTAACTTTTTTGATCCTCAAAACCACCCTGGGAGGTAGGTGCTATTACTATCCCCTTTTTACAGATAGGGAACCCAAGGAAAATAGTGGTTAAGTTACTTGCCCAGAGTCACCCAGCTAATAAGTGTCTGAGGTGGGATTTGAACTCAGATCTTTCTGACTCCAGGCCCAGCACTCTTTCCACCATACCATGCTGCCTCCCCTAAGATCTTTTCTAGCTCTAACGTTCTCTGTTCTAAGTTCTAGGTTCTCTCCCAGCTCTAATATTCTACGTTCTAAAGTCTCCTGCAGCCCTAACATTCTTGGGGAGCACAACACTTAGCACAATGCCTGACGCATAGCAGGTGTGTAATAAACGTTTATTGACTTATTTATTGGCAGGGTTCTAGGTTAGGTTCTCTTTCCGCTCCAGCATGTTAGGTTCCAAAATGTCTCCTGGCTTTAACATTATGTTCTGGGTTAGTCTAAGGTTCCTTCTCTCACTCTAAGGTGATACTCTCCTACGCCCCTTCCAGCCCTAAATCCTATGACCCTAAGAACCATCCCCTCCCCCTCTTCCCCCAGAAGCCAGTTACCCGTGTCCTCAAGTCTCCAAAGCAAGGCAGCTGGGAGCCCCTTACCACATGTGTCCTTTCCAGTTGGGATACTGCAACATGGGAGGCTCAATATGGTGCATGTCCCTCTGATTCAGCTGGTGGGAAGAGAAGATACAGTAGAGCAGTGAGACCTCAGCAGGTGCACAGCCCAGGGGCCCCAAGGGGGGAAGGGGAACAGCAAGGGCCTCCCAGGCAAAGTTGGGGGAAGGGAAGCAGCGAGGGCCTCCCAGGTCCAGGTTGGGAGGAGGAGAGCACACAGGCCAGGTGATGGAGAAAACACACGTCAGGGGCACTGTACAGGAACCTGGCCCGTGTCCTTGATCGATTGCTATGGAATATTCCCCCACAGCCCCATAGCTGCTCGCAGAGAAGCCACTTAAGCTCAATCAGTATTGAGCAACATGGGATGGCAGAAAGAACCCTGGACTTGGGAGGCCAACAAGGCAGAATCTGGTCCTGGCTCTGCTTCCTACGAGCTGTGTTACCTGAAGCAGGTCACTTAACTTCTCTTAGGCTCACTTTCCTCATCTGAGACAAACATGGCCTTAGCGTATGGAGAGCTAGCCTCTTGAAGTCAGGAAGAACTGGGTTCAAATCCCACCTGTGGCCCATACTGGCTCTGTAGGCCATGGTCAGTCCTTAACCTCTTAGCACCCAGTGTACACCCCAAGACTTTCCAGCTGTCAATGGGCCTTCCCAGAAGAGCTTTCCAGGTAACCCCAGTGGAATCACAGGTCATGACCACCACCCTAAAAAAAATCTTGGGCTCATCATATTTACCCTAGTGTTGTAAAGAAAATGAGAGAAGGTCTCCAAAGAACTTGGTAAGGGCTAATTGTAAATTTCCATTAACAGCTGGACTGTAAGCCCCATGAAGGTAGGAAACGTGTAGTGCCTGAGTGCTAGTCTATTGTCTAGGAGACATTTAACCAATGATGCTTCATGTTGGTGCTTAAAATTTAAAAAATGTGTTCCCCATGAGAACCCTGTGAAGCATAGGTAGTGTTTGCTTCATTTTACAGATATGGAAACTGAGATCCTGAGTGAGTAAGGATTTACTCAGATTCACAGAGATAGAAAAGTAGAAGAGTCAGGATTCATATTCAGGCTTCCTGACTTCAAATTCAATGTTCTCTGCTGTGCTCCCCTCAACCCTCACTCACTCGCGCGCGCACACACCACACACACACACACACACACACACACACACACACACAGAGATGCACATACCCCAGGCAGCATCCCTTCTCTGTTTACTGATCTAGCCTGAAATTCTTATTTGTATCCCATGCCTTCTCACTCCAGCCTCAGTCTTTTCTGGGCTATTTCCTGGAGACATTCAAGGGAAAGCAGCATTTGTATCTTCAGTTTCACACCCAGGACTCACCCGGCTGGATAGCAGGTCAAAGCAGAGCTTGTTTTCACTGGTGCCAAAGTTAATGATTCCTTGGAGGTGGGAGAGCAAGAAGAAGTGATATGGGTATAGTGGAGAAGGCTGCCTCTGTAGGGAGGGAAGACCCAACCCTCATCAATGCAATGGACTAGCAGGCATTGTAACCCCAACAGGCTCCTCCATTCTTTGAGTATTTCACTCTCATAGGAGCAAAAAGCATGGGGCCTCTTGACGCTGCTGCTGCTGCTGCTGCTGCTAATGATGATGATGATGATAGCTAGAATTTATACTGTTCTTTAAGGTTTACAAAACACTTCATAGGCATTATCTCATTTGATTCTCACAACTCCACAGGGTAGGTGATGATCCCCATTTTCTATCATTTAATTTTTTTTAGTGAGCAAAAAATCTAATTTTCTCTTCTTCCCACCTTTCCCATGCCCAATGGGAAAAAAGAGAAAAAGAAAATCTCTGTAACAAATATGCATAGCCAACCAAAAAAACATGGCCCCGATTGGCCACATCTTAAAATGCTAAGTCTCTATCTGCATCTTAAATCCATCATCTCTCTGTCAGGGGTGTGTAGAAAAGTTCATTGATGGCTCCTCTAGAATTGAGGTTGATCACTGCATTGACCAGAGTTAAGTCTTACAAAGTGTTTTGTCTTTACAATGTTGCTGTTACAAAGTTAATTGTTCTCCTGGTTCTGCTCACTTCACTCTGCATCTTCTCAAGTTGCTCTAAAACCCACTGCCTTCACCAATCTTTAAAGCATGATAGTATTCCATCACATTCACAAACTATAACTTGTTGAGCCCCATGCCTCCCATTCACCAACTGATGGGCACCACCTTAGTTTCCAGTTCTTTGTCACCACAAAAAGAGCTGCTATAAATATTTTTCTAAAGATCCCCATTTTACAAATGAGGAGACAGTTATCTGTAAAGTAAGAAGGCTGGACTAAATCAGTCACTTCCAACTTGAAAAAGAGAAACCTTACAAAGGGAGAATGTGTTATTACAAAGGGCCCTCAAATTCACATGCAAATCCATAAAGAAGTCAACACACCTTCTGAATACTTGGTAAATAATGTCTCACACACATGACTATTTCTCAAAAGTACGTATAATGAATGCAAATTCATCTTGATCTTTACTAAAGAATAACACCTTTTATCATAATGGGTCTTTTCAATTAACATATATAATTACTAGTATAACTACTTTCATGTGCATGACTTTAACATATTTTTGACATTTAAATGGAGTCTTCATATTTGGAAAGTTTGGGAACCACTAAGGTTAAGTAATCTCTAAGATTCTTTCTAAGATTCCTTTTCTAAGATTCTTTAATATTCTTTGTTCTAAAAGTACCTTCCAGTTTTGACAGTATTCAATTTAAGGTTTATTCCAGCTGTGATATTCTATCCTCTATGTACTGAGGTCCCTCCCCATTCAGACATTCTGTGTTTTAAGATTCCTTCTGTATGTAATTTTTTTATATATTCTAAAGTCCTTTCTCATTCTCACATTGGATTCTGAGGCTCTTTTTAGCTCTCACATTCTATATACTAAAGTTCCTTCCAGTTCTGATATTTTATGTTCTAAAATTCCTTCCAATTCTAATATTTTATGTCCTATAGTCCCCCCAAGCTGTGACATTCTGAGTTCTACATTCTAAGATTCTTGACAGCTCTGACAGTATAATGTTCTTATGTCTACTCCTCCTGACATTCTCTGTTCTATCTTACAAGGTTCCCCACCCACTCTAACATTCTCCTGTTTATTTAAAACCCAGAGCTCCAGGTCAGGGCTGATAGGAATCACAAACATTCCTCCTGAGCCCATAGAAATGCCAACAAGGTCTTGATTTTGTTAAAAAGTAGGGTGAGAAACGGGGAGGATGGAGGCAATGAGTAGGCACTGGAAGATTGGGTGAAGTCAGCTAAGAAAAAATAGAAGGCAGTTGTATTTTTACACTAGGGAAAGTAAATTTAGGGAATGCATCACCTCAGTTGGTTATACAGACTGAAAACTACAGCTGCAAAAAAAAAAGTTTGGATAAATTCATAGATGACAGTGCCATGTGATCATTGTGAGAAACCAGGATATTTGGGGGAGAAATCCCTACATCTTAGTCATCATTTCCTTCCCACAAACTACCCCTTATTGGTGCTGACTAAGGCAGGCAATTGGGCTAGATTAAGGGTCAATAAGCCTTTAAGGGCAAAGAGTCATCTTTTTGTAACGGCTGTGTTTTATGTGTGTGCGTTCATATGTATACACACATCATGTATCACATTTTTTATTTAATTTGTACAAGTTCACACAATCTAATGGACTCCTCACCTCCACAGCTAGTGATTCATTGTTTCTAGTGCACATTACTTAGATGAGTCAACATATGGATCCAGACTTATTCCTTTATTATGGCTAAAAGCCATAAAAAATGTGCATGGAACCAAACAGGACTCAGGTTGCCAGCCCCTGGGTGAGCTGGACTGGGGAAGCTGACGCAGATGGCAGTCCATTCCACTTTTGGACAACCTAATTGTTTGGAAGTTTTTCCTTACAATGAGCCTCAGAAATTTGCTTCTCTCTTATTCATGGCTCCTAGTTCTGCCTTTTGAGGCAAGTAGAATAAATCTAATCCTTCTTCCATATCAAACCCTTTAAATATTTGAAGACAGCAATTCTGTCTCTCCAAGTCCTCTCCTCTCCAAGTTAAACATTCCTAGTTCCTTCAGGTGATCCTTGTATGGTTTAGTCTCAAAGGCCTTCACCATCTTGGTTTCCTTCTTCTAGAGGCTCCCAAACTTGCGGTACCCTAAGCTGCATATAACAGCCTAGATGTGGCCTGAACAGGATCAAATACAGCAGGGTGATAACCACCCTCGTCCTGGACACTATGCCTCTTCCAATGCCACCTCAGGTGCCATTGCTGTTCTGGGCTGCCATGTCACCCTGCAGTCTCATCTTGAGCTTCTGGGCTATTAAATTCCCGGAACTTTATCACGTAAACCTTTTGATCCCTCTATTGCCCTCCATAGGGAGATGACCATGAGCATGTAGACAATGAGTGACCCTAGTTGCCAGACTGTAGCCTGCCCTTCTACGGGCCAGTCAGCCCGTGTAGATGTTTTGACATCCACTTAGCAGTCCAACCCCATGAGCCTGTTCACTGATTCTGGTAGGAGCTCCAGAAGGTCAAGATAGGTCTGTTAAGGTCTGCTCACCAGCCTACTGGTCAACCAGTGAGATTCTGTATTTTGTGTAGACCTTCCTGAAGGGTCAAGGGCAAGGTCTATGCACCAATCAGACTCTGTATTTTTGGCTTGCTCCACCTGTATTGTCTGGGTATCAAGCACTGCAAAACTAAGGCCCTGGAGAAAGTGGGCATCTCAGATCATGAGGAAGATCTGAGGTCCTCTTCATTAGGGGGGGCAATGGACCCTTTAATAAGTGACATTGGCTCAGAGCTCTGGCTCAGTGGTTTTTCTTGCAGATGGGACAGTTTTGAAAATCTTTACACTGTTGAGATTTTTACAACTAGGATGTCAATGTTCTAATCAAGGTAAACAATAGGAACCTTCTTATATCAGAAGATAATTCAGGGATCTGCTCTGAAGTTAAACAATTAATTGGGAGCTCCCCTAGTTGGCAACACGGAGCTTGGGCTGGCAGCAATCCTACCTTCTTTACACTGCCAACCCCTAGGACTTCTCCCTATGACTTCCCAGGGCAGGTGCACTCACCTTAGGGTTCTTGTCTTCATCATACTCATCCAAGTGATAGGCCTTATAGCCTTCCTCGGCTGCATCCCGAAAACATTTGATGATGCTTCCTCGAGAAGAAAGATATGGGCTCATCTGGGAGAACTTGGCAGCAGGATCACCCAATCCATAGACATTTACAGGCTCCTTATCTGTCTTCTCGGAGGAGTTACTGTCCAGGCCCTCTCCACCATTAGTGCCCAAGTCCTGAGTGGATGATGAAGCAGGGGAGGTGGCCAGCCCTCTGGCCTCCTGCTTAAAGATGCTGAACATCTAGAAGAAGATAAAGATTTAGAACTTAAAATCACGCTCTAGTACTTTTCATGGGATCACAGATAAGTTGGGTTGGAAGCAGGGGTGTGCTAGTAAAAATTTAACAACTAACCCTCCCCCCAAAATTCCAAATGTACTATGATACACTTTCAAGTTTAATCTGCATTATTAATATTTCATCCCTCACTTTCTTAAGTCTAAATAATCAACAAAACAATAAATCAAGCCCTGAGTTGTAGTGTTGGCAGGTGATATGTAAATATGCTGAAAATTTAACAATTGGCTCTCTCCCAACCCTGTACCAGCTGATTCCAGCTAGAAGCCATGTGAGCTCAGTCCCTCAGCCATACTTCTCATTCTTTTGCTTTTTCCTTTAAACTCATGTTAAATGGTAAAATCTTAATTTTTAGAAAATCAACAAATAGAAAAATAACACTTAGTAGTCCTTTACGCCACTTCCGGATGGAATCTCTCTGGTCCAAGATGAGTGTGACAATCCCTTTCTTTAGGCCTGTTTTCTCATACTAACCTATAATATGAGGTGAGAGGACCTGAATTCATAATTCTATCCCAGCTCTGACATCCTCTGATTCAGCAAGATTCCATTAGCACTGAAGGTGGGAAGGTGGGAAGGAGGCAGGGGACACATTACTTTGTACATCTCTGATACACAAATTCAAAATAACACTTAACAAGAGCCTCTTGCATCTTCCAACAGGCTACTGGCTAACTCTCATGCTGGCAGAGACTTCTCAGCCAAACCTCCTGTCCCTAGAGCCTAACAGAGTGCTTTAGTGTGCTCTCAGAACCTAAAGCTTGGCTCCCGCTCAAGAGTCCCTTTATATAAGCCTACTGAACTAAATCCATTACATTTTATGATTCCATGAAATGAGAAAAGCTTCTGGTCTTTCTGAGACAGAAGAGGTGGATCACATCTGGAATCCTGAAAGCCTTCTCCCGGGTCCCAACCCATTAAGAATTTCCGCCCAGTCTAGCCCTGAGTTCTAGGGAGGGACCACCCAATCAGAACGCAAAAAGACTGTTTGTGGAAGGAACTTCGTGCCCTCCCACCCACTCTGTCTATTCCAAAGGGGCACGAAGGAAGAACCTCTAGCAGCTTGGAAAGATTTAGAAAACTAATTATATACGGCAGAGGCAAAGAGAGAGAGCTTATGATAGGGCTTAATAAATATTTGTGGAGCTTAACGGAAACAGTTTCAGGTTTTAAGAGCTGCCCAGGTCAGTATGAGTTAATAAAGGTGCTATTAGATACAATATTGAAGTTTAAATTAAGATGAAATGAAGAAAGGATCCCATTGGCTGTATGAGGCACACTCTAGTGTCCATAAATCTACCAAAGCTGGAAGGGGGGGTGGGGGAGAGGGAGTAGAGGTGGAAGGGGGCGTGGCCCACATTCTCCCCATTCATCCTTATTTTGAAGAGGCTTGGGGAGAAATTTGGTTCTTTGACTATTTGGTGGGTGAGCCTGTGATTTCATCGGTATCGGGGACTCCCAGTGGGAAAATTCCTTCCACCAAATTGGGGCACTGAAAAGTTAAGAGACGTGCCTAGGGTCACACACAGCCAGGATGCCAGCGGCGGGACATGAGCCCAGAACTTCTAGACTCGGAGGCCCGCTCACTTGCCAGTTCAACATGCTGCCTGCCTCTCCTCCGGCTTCTGGACTAGACTTTGGAAGATCTAGGTTCTAGTTCCGATTCTGCCACCAGCTGTTGGGCAACCCATGTCTCCTCACTGGACCTCAATATCCCCCTCTGTAAAACGAGGGATTCAGATAGCCCCCTCAAGCTTTGACATTTCGGGACACCGGTCTCAGGTGTTTGCTGGGGACGGAAGAGAGCTGACCTTGCCCACCTAAGTGCTGCATGCCAATGCACAGGGAGACCCCAGCCCCAAACCAGCACTATCTCTATCTCTCTGCAGAAGGAGGCTGGACCTAGGCTCGTCCAGGACTTGGACCACACCCTCCAGGGACGTGGGGGAAGAGGTCGGTAGGGTAACTGCAGAGGTGCCACGTGTAAGGAGGAAGAGTGATTCAGGAAATTCCTCTCTCTCCTGCAGCGGAGGCGGGATCAAAGCTGAGCACACACTTACTTCCCAGACCCTGGTCAGAGTCCAACTCCAGGGTATTGTCGAGTCCCCAGCTCTGTGAGAACGTGGAGCCCGGAAGAGGCGCTGCAGGGAAAACGGAGGAAGGGGCTGGCCAGCTCGGCCTGATGAGGCCCCCGCGTGGGAGGAGCGCCCAGGGCTACAGCCACCCCCCCCCAAGAGGAGTGTCGGAGCCGAAGCCAGCGGGGCGGAGCCCAGCTGGAGGAGCCCCGGGCCAATTCCGCTGAAGCTTTGGCCTGTTCTTTAGCCTCCAAACCCGCTTCCCAGAGGGTGCTGAGGAGGTTGGGATGAGATGGGGCCCACCTGTAGAGCCGATCGTTAAATGATCCGCATGAGCATTCGCTCCTCGGAAAGAGACAAATGCTACAAATCAAGGCTTATTTTATCGATCTGTCTAGACTTTAAATAGTGTTGGATAAAATGTTAATGATGCAGATGAAACTTGAAAGTGTGTCCAGCCTACATTTTCCCGGGAGAATCGTTTAACATTTGTCAGCACACCTCTGGATAATTCTCAACGAGTCCTTGGGATAGCCTTCTAAAGAATGAAAGGCACTTTTCTCAAGTGAAGCATCGTCTCGAGTGATCCTCATGAGTAAGGGGATGTAATTCCTGTCTAGAGAAGAGGAAACTTGTTCAGAAATGTTCGAAGACATACGGTTAGTAACTGACAAAAGGATGCATTTGAACCCACCTCTGTCCTGACTCTGACTCCAGCACTTTCTCCCCTCTGACTGGGGGGTCTTCACCCTTTTTGTGTCCGGGGTTTCTTCGGCAATCTGGTGGACAGAGCCCTTCTCAGATTCACGTTTGTAAATGCATAAAATAAAAGAAGGAAACCAATTCTATTGAAATAGTTATGAAACATATATATAATATATATGTGTGTGTGTGTGTGTGTGTGTGTGTATACACACACACATAAAACAAGTTCATGGAGGTTTAGCACCTCAACTCTAGGCTCTGTTCTAAGGTCCCTTTGAGCCGTCAATCCATATTCTTCTGTATAAAGTTCATCTCAGTCGATGTTCTATGTCCTAAGCTTAAGGTCCTTTTCAGCTGGCATTCTACTTTCTAAGGTCCCTTCCAACTTTGACTTTCAACATTATTTTTAATGATTTATTATAAGCTTAATGTTAAGTATCAATTAAAATTTAAATTTGCTCTTCAACTATCAAATTAAAAAAACATTTTCAATACGTAAAATAACCATATCTTGTCAGTCATTCCCTCAGTGAGGGCCAAGTTGGTGGTGAAAGCCTGTTATCCAGGAAGGCTGAGATTTGGGGATTTCTGGAGCTCAGGAGTTCTGAGTTGCAGTGGACTAAACCTAAATCTATTGGGCATCCCCATTAAGTCCATCCAGTTAAAAAAAAAAAAGTCCCCCACCATCTCTCAATTTCACTTCTTTTTTATAATTTGGCAACCATAGGTATCTTAAGGTTCCGCTTTATAGATTTATTTTCTTTACATTATTTCATAAAGGACTCTCTGTAGTTCCTTATATTGCTCAAAAATGTAGACCTTACCTGTCTCATGACATTCCAGGGAGGAAGTATTGGTCTAGTGAACCTGTATTCAAAGCCTCCCTCTGGCACAGAGTGACTGTGGGAACCAGTGCAAGTCACTTAAATCAAGTGCTCATGAAAATATACCATGATTTATTCAAATCTTTTATTCTTGGATATTTGGGTGGTTTCTAGAATTTTGCAAATACAAATAATATTTCTATTAATATATTTTAAAATCTAACTCTTCATGTTTCTTTTTTGCTTACCTCCTGAGGGTGTATGTATCCAACAATGGAATTCTTGGATGAAAGCGTGAGATAATTTTTTTTGTAAATTTTTAAGAGCTGTCAGATTTCTTGCCTTGCCTTTATTTTTAAAAACTTCATCACCCCATCTCAACAAGGCTGGAAATGAAGGGTCTGCTCATAGCTGGATACCACTGCTGATTTGCTGGGGAACTTTGATCGGCTCTGCTTCTACTCTGTAGCTGTTTGCACCTCACTGGGCAACCTGCTGGCACTGCCCTGCCCCAGTCTCTCAAGGATTCATTATATTGTCACCCAACTTAGTGTAGACACCCCATTGACATACCCCACTGCAGCTCAGAACTCCTCAAGAGACTGGCCAGCCTCAGCCTCTTGGTTGTTGAGATCACAGGTATGGATTGTTCCTGAAGATTGCTTTCTAAGGGAATCCACCTAGTTGAAGCTCTACCAGCAGTAATTGTACCTCTCTCCCAACCTTGCCAGCAGCGATTTTAATTATTTTTGCCAATTGAGTAGGTGAGGTCATATCTCAAAGTTGGTTTATTTTATATTTCTTTGATTATAAAGAACTTGAACATTTTTTCCAAGCTTTTTAATTTATATTTTTATTATTTTGTTTTTATTTTACCTTCACTTCCCTATATAGATTCATTGCCCGGCATCATCCCTTCTAACAAAAATTAAAAAGAGAAGAAAAATCCCATTAAATTAATGAACAGATCGGCCAAGTCTCACACTATATTTGTGATGATCCAGAATGTACTAAAGGTGCCCAGGCATACCCCAAAGCCTCTCCAAAAAAGTGGTTTTACATTTTAATTTAATCACATGATGTGGTCTTTTAGTGTTCAAGTATGAATTGTTATATTATACAAAGTATAAATAATAAATACTTCTTTCCGTTTCTTCACTCTGAAATTCCTAACACAGAGGAAAGCACCCTAACCCTCTCCTGGTGATGCTTAAGCTTTAGGGTTTTTTTTAACTTTCTTTCATTTGCTAAATAAAAATAATGTCTTTCACAACTGAATATTCAATAAAAGTTCACCTTTTAAAAAGTTCACCTTGGGTGCACATACTAATCAAATGTACTGAGCAGGTACATTCCACACCCTTAGTCCCTTTTCTCTGCAAAAGTATCTTCTCCTATCTGTTATTTGAGGACAAACTGAGACATTACAACTTCACAATGTTCAGTTTCATTTGTCTTTAGCTTTTGTTCTTTTCAATCATGTTTGAAGTCTGCTTGAGCAATTTTTCAAGTGATTGTTATTGTCTTGTATTTCCCCTTTTGTAAGTGATCTGTTCCAGAAAGAACTGATGGAAGCACGCCATTTTCACTTTTTTTTTTGGTGGGTTTTTTCTTGGTCTGTTTTTTCTTTCACAGCATGTCTAATATGGAAGTATGTTTTACATGAATGCACATACATAACCTATATCAAATTGTTTACCATCTTAGGTGGGGGCTAGGGGGCGGGAGGAGGTAGGGAAAAAATTTGTAACTAATTTTTTAAAATAAATGTTTAAAATTGCTTCCCCGAGCCCCTGCCCAGCTGTGGCCGCCTACAAGCTGGTGCTGATCCGGCATGGAAAGAGTGCCTGGAACCTGGAGAATCACTTCAGAGACTGGTACGTCGCGGATCCAAGCCCCGACCGCACGAGGCCAAGCACAGTGGCCAAGCATCGCAAGATGCTGGCTATGAATTTGCTATCTGCTTCAGCTCTGTCCAGAAGAGAGCAATTCGTACCCTTTGAACTGTACTAGATGCCATTGACCAGATGTGGTTGCCTGTAGTGAGGCTTTGGCACCTCAACGAGCAGCACTGTGGAGGGCTGACTGGTCTCAACAAAGCAGAGACAGCTGCTGAGGATGGTGAGACCCAGGTGAAGATCTGGCGACGATCCCAAGACATCCCACCACCTCCAATGAAGCCTGACCACCCCTTCTATGGCAACAACAGCAAGGAGCGTCGCTATGCAGATCTGACCGAGGATCAGGGGCCTTCCTGTGAGAGACTGAAAGATACCATTGCCTGGGCTGTACCCTTCTGGAATGAGGAAATCATCCCCCAGATCAAGGAAGGAAAATGTATTCTGATTGCAGCCCATGGCAATAGTCTTGGAGGGATTGTCAAACATCTTGAGGGTCTGTCTGAAGAAGCAATCATGGAGCTGAATCTGTCCACTGGCATTCCCATTGTGTATGAGTTGGACAAGACTCTGAAACCCATCAAGCCCATGCAGTTCTTCTGGGATAAAAAGACTGTGAGCAATGGAGACTGTGGCAGCCCAAGACAAGGCCAAGAAGTGAAAGCAGGATGCCAGCACATGCCAGCAGTAACCAGGTCCTTCCCTTCTCACTGTCTCCACCACATCTTTCCCCACCTGCTCCACACAGTGACCATCACCTTAGGGATCACAACACATAGCTGCAGGTGGGGGACTGATGGTTCTTTTTCTCATTTCTTCCTCCCTATTTCAGACCAATTGTTTTCTCTCCTGTTGCCCTTCCCCTCAATCACATTAGTTAGAATGTCTCCTGGGTGGTTTTGCTCAGGAAGGACCTGGTTAGGGATTAGGGACGGGGACATAGTATGAAGTGACCAATGTGAGGAGCTGAAAGAAGCAGTTGGTCCAGTCATTCCTGTGAGCCACTCCTGCCAGCAAGGCAGTCCTCTCAGTGACTGTTGTAGGAAGCTGTCTATAACCAAGGTGGTCATTTAATGAGTCATGAAAGTTTTATTTGAATGTTTCCTCTCTAATACAAGAAAAATGGATCTGGGAGGTTGTCCTAATGTTTACTTGTTGCATTTGCTTTCACAAAAGACCCTTCTAGGCTGGTTATTAGTGGCTTTTGAAATTGAACTGTTCCACTTGGTAGTCAGGAGAGATCTCAAGCCAGGTCAGAGAAGGGAGAGTTCCTTGATTTTTAAGGGGTGGACAAAAACATCCCACTGTGTGTTTTATAGCCCCCTTTGTTCTGTGGCAGTGAAATGCCCTAGGTCATGTTGAAATGGGTCTCAATGTCCCATTGCCTTCTACCTCATGTCCAGCCACCCGGGTCCTCATCAGCTTTAGCATAACTATACTAATCTGGCCCTTCCCCCGGCCCCCTTTTTTATGGTTCACTATACTAAAAGAGTGAAGAGCAATTTAAAAAATTGTCTTTACATGTATTTGATAAAAAATAGAATACTAGTTTTAAAAGGTAAGTGGTCTGTTCATGTACTTGGGTCATTTACACTGGGAAAATAGATCTTGCATTTGATTTTAGGTGCCAAGTTTTTTACCTGTCATATTTGTCATAAATATTTCCAAACCTGTTTTTATTTTTACTTTAATTACATTGTTTTGTTGTATAAGTTTTTTTTATTTTTATGTAATTGAAAATATCTGGTTTCAGATAATTTCTTCTATTTAACACATTAAAAGTTGCCTGGCACGTTGTTGCTGTTCAGCCATGCTTGACTCTGTGACTCCATTTGGGGTTGTCTTGGCAAAGGTGCTGGAGTGGTTTGCCATTTTCTTCTCCAGCTCCTTTGACAAATGAAGAAACTGAAGCAAACAGAGTTAAGTGACTTGCCCTGGCTAGTAAGTATCAGAGGCCAGATTTGAACTCAGGAAGATGAGTTTTCCTGACTCCAGGCCTGGCACTCTATCCACTGTGCCACTTAAGCTCCCCCAGCACGTAGTAGGAACTTAATAAATTCTTAATCAGGGATAGGGACTACAGACAGACGATTAGTTGGAGGCCACAACTGAACAGTCAACAATTATTTGTCATGTCTTCTTTATGTATTAGACAAAGCTCTGGAAACATAAAGGTAAAGACGTGGTCCCTGATCTCAAGAAGCTCACATTCCAATGGAAGAGATAACATGTAAATATTTAGGCACATACAAGATATATGCAAGGTAAACAGGAGATACTGAGAGAAAGCATGCACAGGGGAGGAGGGCTACCGGGGGAAGTGCCTGCCCAAGGTATGATTTGGTCTGAGTCTTGAAGGGAACAAGGGAAGCCAGGAGGTGGAAGTGCAGAGGGAGAGCTTTCCAGGCATGGCAGAAGGCCAGTCTGGAGATGGAATGTCACATGGGGGACAGTTGTCACTGGATCTTAGAGAACATGGAAGGAGTAAGTGTGAGAAGACCAGCAATGGAGGAAGGCACCAGGTTGTGAAGGGCTTTCAATACCAAACAGGATTTTCTATTTGATCCTAGAAGTGATGGGGAGGCATTGGAGTTTATTGGTTGGGGGGGAGTGGCAAGCTTTTAGAAAAGTCACTTTGATAACTGCGTAGGGGATGGATTGGAATGGAGAAGCTAGAGGCAGAGGTCTTTGCTGTAGCTCATAAAATGTCAGGATCATAGGATTTAGAACTGAAAGGGACCTGAGAAACCATCTCATCTAAATCTTTCATTTAGATGGAGAAAGCAAGGCCCAACAAGGTCCAACAAGGTCCTTGATTGGCCCAAAGTCACACAAACCATAAAGAGCCAAGCTGGGATTCAAATTCTGCCAGAAGGCCCTTATCACTTCAGTGCAATGGTCCAGCTGCCTGGTCTCCTTGCCTATCCATGACCATGCTCAGAGAGAAAAATAATAATGATTAACGTTTGTAAAGTGCGTTTAGGTTTGGAAAGCACTTTTCTCGAAATAACCCTGGGGGACAGATACAATTATTATGTCCATTTTACAGATGAGGAAACTGAGGGTGAGTCAGCCCAGGGTCATTGGGCTGGTAAGTGTCTAGGGCAGGATTCAAGCTCAGATCTTCCTGACTCAAGGCCCTATCCACTACACCATGCTGTTTACTTCTCAGCCCCACATCATCTTTAGGATAATGGTAATATGGAGGACAGATAGGTGGCTAGGATAGAGTGCTGGGCCCGAAGTCAGGAAGACTTAACTTCTTGAGTTCAAATCCAGCCTCAGACACTTAATAACTGTGGACCCTGGGCAAGTCACTTAACCCTGTTTGCCTCAGTTTCCTCATCTGTAAACCATTCCAGTGTCTTTGCCAAGAAAACCCCAAATGGGGTCACAAAGAGATCAACAATATGGAAGAAGCAATTTTAAAATCTTAAAAATGCGGGAAAAACCATTCTTTGGAGAAATGGGGACCTATGAGCACATAATACTACATACCTTGTCAGATATGGTTGCTATGTTGGTTGCTTTTGCTTTTTTTTTTTCTTTGATGAGAGAGTAGAGGCAGTTATAAGAGAAGTCTTTCTGAGAGGGTGAGGGTGAGGTATATCTAGAAATTATTGTGATATAAAAACAAAAGACCCCAATGAAGCATTCTTTTAAAAGTGAGATGGATGCTGTGTAAACTAATGGGTCCCACTAATTGACCTCTCTTTTCAGCCTGTATAAAATCATTTTGAGGATTACTGTTTTGCTATGTAATTTGAGGTCCGGCACTGCTGGGCCTCCTGCCTTCTCACTTATTTTTTCATTATTTCCTTGAGCAACCTTTTGTAATGAACTTCATTACATTTTTTTCTATCTCGACAAAATAATCTTTTGATAGTTTTATTGTCATGGCACTGAAAAAGGAAGTTATTTGAGGTAGTATAGTCTTTTTTTTTATTAGATTGACTCAATCTAACTATGAGCAATAAATGCTTCTCCAGTTATTTAGGTTTATCTTTTATTCCTGTCAAGCATGTTTTGTGATTGTATTCATCTAGTTCTTGAATAGGTCTTGGACTCCCAAATTCTTTATACATTATGTAATTATGTTAAGTGAAATTTCTCTATCTCTATCTCTTCTTGCTGTTGTATTATCAAGATCCTAGATTAGGGCTGGAAGGAACTTTGGAGGTTAAGCCCAACCCTGTACTCTTACGAATGAAGACACTAAGGCCAGTGAGGGAAATTAAGGTAAATGACAAGAGGCTAGAAATTTGGAAAGCAAGCCAGAAATTTATTAGACACCAGACAGAAAAACAACAATCTCCAAAGTTACTTAGGAAGGAGGACTGGGGTCTGGCCCCTCACCCCACTTCCAAGAGTCCCACCCCCTTGGAAGAGCCTGGAGAAGAGAGTGATCGCTCCCCAAACCAACACACCAAGTTAGCTCCTGAACAAACAGAAGTGACCTATCTTGAAAACCAGGAGAGAAGAAGCTCAGGATAGATCTACATTCTTCAGAAGGCTCCTGAGACTGGCTCAGGCAAAGACCTCCTTCATTCCTGTTTGCAATGGGATGTTCCCTAGATCCAAAAGAGGTTTTTTCCCTGCAAGCTGCCCAGCCCCTCACATGTGGGCCCCTATTGTTTGCCTGCTAGCTCGTTAAGCACATCCAAGGCCCCAGGCTGCTCCGGGGTCAACTGCTGCAGGGAGCCCTTCTGCAGCCAGGCAGATGAGCATGTCTATTGGTGAGGCAGCCCGATCAGGTCCCTCGTCTTAGTGCCGCTCGTTGGCCCCTGCTGCCTGGGGACAAACACTGCCTCGTCAGTGCTGTCTGCCTGGCCTTCCTGCTCCAGAAGCTGCCTGGGCACAGATAACTTCTGATGCAGCTCCTGGGCTTGCTGCTGTAGCACTTGCCGGATCCTCTGCATTCCTGGAGTGGGAACATGGGGACAGGATGGGGAAGGGAAGGGAGAGGGTTAATGCACAGGTAGGTGTCCAGCGGCAGCTCTGGAGAGTGGCTTGTGCAGGAAACCCTCAGACTTCACGAGCTGTTAGAAATGAAGCAGCAGGTTCAGCCCCTCATTTTACAGAGGAGGAAACTGAAGCCAAGAAACAATAAGTGGCTTGTTCTATGTCACATGGCTGGCAGAGAAAGATCTGAACTCAGGTCTCCTGACTCTCGGTTTTTGTCTTTTTTTTTGTTTTTGTGTTTTTTGTTTGTTTATTTGTTTGTTTTGTTTTGGTTTTGGTGAGGCAAGTGGAATTAAGTGACCTGCCCAGGGTCACACAGCTAGCACATATTGTGTCTGAGGCTGGATTTGAACTCAGGTCCTCCTGACTCCAGGGCCAGTGCTCTATCCAGTGTACCACCTAGCTGCCCCCTGACTCTGATTTCTTACAGTATAGCATTATTCCATTATATTTATATTATAGCTACTACCCAGATTCCTCTGAGTTGGTTTGCTAATCTGGAAAATGACTAGGCTGTATTAGATGATCTCTTTTCTAATATTAACATCACATGTTCTGTGTTCTAAGATCCTTCCAGTTCTAACATTCTGTGTTCTAAGGTGCCTCTCACTTTTGATATTCTGTGTTCTAAGGTCCCTCTCAGTTCTCACATTCTCTATTCTAAGCTCTGACATTCTGTGTTCTAGGGTCACACTCAGCTCTGACATTCTATGTTTTAAGGTCCCTCTTGGCTCTGACATTGTGTTCTAAGGTCCCTCCCACTTTTGACATTTTGTGTTCTAAGGACCCTCCCAGCTCTGACATTCTAAAATCTGTGTTCTAAGATATCCTGTGTTCTAAAGTCCCTTCTGGTTCTTATACTCTCCATTTAAGGTCCCTTTTTTTAGCTTTGCCATTCTATGTCTAGCTGTGATACTCTTGTTTTCTATGTCCTAAGGTCCCGTGCAGAGATAACATTCTATATCCTCTGCTTCTATCTCTGGCATTTTTTGCTCCACTCCCCGCATACATCTCCCTTAGAATGTAAACTTCCCAGAAAAAGCATTGTTTCATTCTTTCATCCTAGCACAGAACTTTGCACAGAAAAGGAGTCTGGGGCTCATTTATTCATTGATTCAATAAGACACATCTGAGCTCCGACACTCGCTGCTTGAAAGACCCCCCCCCCACTGCTTGATTCTAAGTTTCACTTCCTCCATGACCACTTCACCCTAGAGACCTTTCGCTTCCACAACTCCTACAGCATTGAATGACCACCATTTCATGTGTATTGTGTCCTGTCTCCTCAAATAGAGTCTAAGCTCCTTGAGGGCAGGCACTATGTTCTATAGATCTGTGAATGTCCTCATTGTGCTTTGACACAGTCATGTTTAAGTGTTACAATGAAGACAGGAAATAAGATTGGTTAGAGACATTGGTTAATAACTGGGATGAAGAAGGGTGGTCCTGACTGATGAGGGGAGGAGAGCAGAGACCAGAGAAAGCAGCTCAGAGGGAGCAGCATTTAGAAAAGAAATTGATGCTTTGCCAAACATTACTCTACCTATCTGCCCATGCGTTCTACATTGCAGCCAAACTGGCCTGTTTACTGCTCCCTGTGCACAAAATTACATCTCCTGCCTCTACGCTTGGAGTACCTCCCCTTGACTCAGTTTACTTATCTGTAAAATGAGGAAATAGATGGGGTAGCTTCTAAGGTTCCTTCCAGTTCAAATCAACAATCTTACATTCCTCTAATTCTGTGATCTGTGTGATCTCGGGGAAGTCATTTTACTTAAGTTGGCCTCAGTTTCCTCATCTGTAAAATGAGGGGGTTGGAT